AGAAATTGAAACAGTAATAAAGGCCCTCCCAACAAAGAAAAGCCCAGGGCCAGATGGATTCACTGCTGAATTCTACCAGACATTTAAAGAAGAACTAACTGTAATTCTTCTCAAACTATTCGGAACAATCAAAAAAGAGGCAATCCTCCCAAATTCTTTCTATGAAGCCAGAAAAAGATGCAGCATTGAAAGAGAATTACAGACCAATATCCTTGATGAACATAGATGCAAAAATCCTCAATAAACTTCTGGCCAATAGAATGCAACAACATATCAGAAAGATCATCCACCCAGACCAAGTGGGATTTATCCCTGGTATGCAGGGATGGCCAATGTGCGCAAAACAATCAATGTGATACACCACATTAACAGACTGCAGAAGAAAAATCACATGATTATCTCAATAGACACAGAGAAAGCATTTGATAAAATACAACACTCTTTCATGATGAAAACTCTAAGCAACCTGGGTATGGCAGGAACATTCCTCAATACAATCAAAGCAATCTATGAAAAACCCACGGCCAACATCCTATTTAATGGGGAAAAGTTGGAAGCATTTCCACTGAGATCTGGTACCAGACAGGGATGCCCACACTCACCACTGCTATTCAATATAGTTCTGGAAGTTCTAGCCAGAGCTATTAGAAAAGAAAAAGAAATTAAAGGGATACAAATTGGGAAGGAAGAACTCAAACGATCCCTCTTTGCAAATGATATGATTCTGTACTTAGAGGATCCAAAGAACTCTACTAAGAGACTATTGGAACTCATAGAAGAGTTTGGGAAAGTAGGAGGATATAAAATCAATGCACAAAAATCAACAGACAATGCCATGTCTGAGAAAGAACTTCTAAGATCCATCCCATTCACAGTAGCTACAAAAACAATCAAATATCTTGGAATAAACTTAACCAAGGATGTTAAAGATCTCTACGATGAGAATTACAAAACCTTAAAGAAAGAAATAGAAGAGGATACCAAAAAATGGAAAAATCTTCCATGCTCATGGATTGGAAGAATCAATATCATCAAAATGTCCATTCTCCCAAAAGCAATTTACAGATTCAATGCAATACCAATGATAATACCGAAGATTTTCTTCTCAGATCTGGAAAAAATGATGCTGAAATTCATATGGAGACACAGGAGACCTCGAATAGCTAAAGCAATCTTGTACAACAAAAACAAAGCCAGAGGCATCACAATACTGGATTTCAGGACATACTACAGGGCAGTTGTTATCAAAACAGCATGGTACTGGTACAGAAACAGATGGATAGACCAATGTCAACAGAATTGAAACACCAGAAACCAATCCAAACATCTACAGCCAACTCATATTTGATCAAGGATCCAAAAACAATCCTGGAGCAAGGACAGTCTATTCAATAAATGGTGTTGGGAAAACTGGATTTCCACGTGCAGAATCATGAAGCAGACCCCCACCTTAAACCTTACACAAAAATTCACTCAACATGGATTAAAGACTTAAATACAACCCGACACCATCAAATTGCTAGAGAGCATTGGAAAAACCCTACAAGAGATAGGTACCGGCAAAGACTTCATGGAAAATACACCAGAAGCACATGCAGTAAAAACCAAAATTAACATTTGGGATTGCATCAAATTGAGAAGTTTCTGTACTTCAAAAGAAACAGTCAGGAAAGTGAAGAGGCAACTGACAGAATGGGAAATAATATTTTCATACTGTGCAACAGATAAAGGGTTGAAAACCAGAATCTAAAAAGAAATCAAGAAACTCCACAACATCAGAACAATAACCCACTTAAGGACCTCAATAGACATTTTACAAAAGAGAAAATCCAAATGGCCAACAGACACATGAAAAAATGTTCAAGATCACTAGCAATCAGGGAAATACAAATCGAAACCACAATGAGGTTTCACCTCACCCCAGTTAGAATGACTCACATTCAGAAATCTACCAACGATAGATGCTGGAGAGGATGTGGGGAAAAAGGGACACTAACCCACTGTTGGTGGGAATGCAAACTGTTTAAGCCACTATGGAAGTTAGTCTGGAGATTCCTCAGAAACCTGAATATAACCCTACTATTCAACCCAGCCATCCCACTCTTTGGAATTTACCCAAAGGAAATGAAATTGGCAAACAAACAAGCTGTCTGCACATTAATATTTATTGCAGCTCAATTCACAATAGCTAAGACCTGGAACCAACCTAAATGCCCATCAACAGTAGACTGGATAAAGAAATTATGGGACATGTACTCTATAGTATACTATATAGCAATCAAAAACAATGAAACCCGGTCATTTGCAACAAGATGGAGGAATCTGGAACACATCATGCTCAATGAATTAGGCCAGTCCCAAAGGGACAAATATCATATGTTCTCCCTGATCGGCGACAACTAACTGAGCACCAAAGGGGAAATTTGTTGAAGTGAAATGGGTGCTATGAGAAACAGTGACTTGATCAGTTCTTGTCCTGATGGTTGAGGTACAATGTAATACGTCATCCATTTTAGTTTTTTTTTGTTCTAGTACTATTCGTTGAACTCTGTAATTAACACACAATTATTCTTAGGTGTTTAAATTTTAACTGAAAAGTGATCCCTGTTAGGAATTTGAAAACATTATGATGAGTGAAATAAGTCAGTCCCAAAGGGACAAATATCATATGTTCTCCCTGATAGGTGACAACTAACTGAGCACCAAACAGGAAACCTGTTAAAGTGAAATGAACACTATGAGAAATAGTGACTTGATCAGCCCTTGCCCTGACTGTTGATGAACAACTTAATACATTATCCCTCTTAGTATTTTTTTTTTGTTTGTTCTACTTAATACTTTTGGTTGAATACTGTAATCAATACACAGTTATTCTTAAGTGTTGAAACTTAACTGAAAAGTGATTGCTGTTAAATATAAGAGTGGGAATAAGAGAGGGAAGAGATTTACAATTTGGGACATGCTCAAGCTGACTTACCTCAAACGGTAGAGTTAGAAACATATCAGGGGATTCCAATTCAATCCCATCAAAGTGGCATGTACCAATACCATATCACTAGTACCAGTGATCAATTTCTATTCACAATTGATCATAATGAAAGGACTAAGAGCCAAAGGGATCACATAAACAAGACTAGTGTTTGCAAATACTAGCTGATAGAATAAAAAAGGGAGAGAACGATCCAACATGGGAAGAGAGATACACAGCAGACCCATTGAATGGCAGATGTCCTAAACAGCACTCTGGCCTCAGAATCAGCCCTTAAGGCACGCGGATCTGGCTGAAAAGCCCATGAGAGTATTACAGGCATGGAAAGGCAAAACACTCTGGCCAAAAAAAAAAAAAAAAAAAAAAAAAAACCACTAAATGAAAGATCTCTGAGAGTGAGATCCCAGTGGAAAGAACAGGTCATCAAAGAAGGAGGTACCTTTCTGTGGGGAGCAACTGGGAGCAACTTGGACTAGACTAAGTTACTGGAATTAAGACTTATTCTATGCATCTGCTCTCCCACAATATGGCGCTGGGAGAGGAGGAAACAGCTTCTACACAGCTGCCTCCAGTTCAACCAATAAACAGCAGGACCTGCTCCTGATTGCAGGAGAGCAGCGTACTCAGCGTGTGGGTAGCAGAGTTGGGATTGGTGGAAGAGGACTATAAAGGAGGAGAGAGACAACATGCACCAGGAACATCTAAGAGGAACACCTGAGCAGCCCCCGAGAGAGCCGGCCGGCGGTGTGCCGCTCCCCTGCGGAAGTGGGGAAAGTGGCAGGGGAACTGCCCTTCCACAGAGGTGGAGGGACGGTAGCCAACCCGGGAAGAACCAGCAGCAAACCCGGGGAGGGCCGAGCAGACAAAAGAACAGCGCAGGGTCCTGTGTCGTTCCTCCACAAAGACGGGGAGCGACATAATGGTGCCGTGACTCAGATATGAAGCCTAGGCAGGGTTTAGTGTCGTTCCTCCACGAAGAGGGGGAGCGACACTTTCTCTGAAGGGAGGAGAGAACTTCCAATTTGACTATGGCCTTGTCTAAATATGAGCAGAGTCGGTGAATTCAAAAGGCTTCCATAGCCTTGGCAACTCATGACAAGAGCCTAGGGTGATTACTGATGCCATAAACAAGAGTGTCAATTTGTTAAATCAACAACAGAAGTCACTGTGCACTTACTCCTCATGTAGGATCTTTGTCCTTAGTGTGCTGTACATTGAGATTTAATGCTATAACTAGTATTCAAACAGTATTTTTCCCGTTATGTTTCTGTGGGGGTGCAAACTGTGAAATCTTTACTTAATATCTGCTACATTGATCTTCTGTATATAAAGAGAATTGAAAATGAATCTTGATGTGAATGGAAGGGGGGAGGGAGAGGGAAAGGGGAGGGTTGCAGGTGGGAGGGAAGTTATGGGTGGGGGAAGCCATTGTAATCCATAAGCTGTACCTTGGAAATTTATACTCATTAAATAAAAGTTAAAAAAAATACAATTAGGGAACCAATTCATCTCAACTTGTTAAATAGTTCTATACTTCATTTCTCTCGCATCAGATCCTTTAATATCCCTTAAAGTTTCAGTGTACTTGAGCACATAGGCCTTTATTTGTACTGTTCCATTGCCTTGAAATGATCACAATAGCAATCTTGTTCACTCAAAAACTACACCTCATTCTACTTTTGAGACTTTCTTGAATTTCCAAACAGAATTTACTTATGTTCATTTGGCACCAATAATGTATGATTGATTGGTGTGTTTTCAAAGACTTATTTATTTCTCATATTAAGCTATGTATAATTTCTTTTAAAATGAGGGAGACAATATTTGCTATGTGGAAGCATTATATGTTGAATGCAATCAATGCCAATTATGCATGTGGCTAAATTAATGTCAGAAAGTATTCTTTCCTGCCATACAAATATGTCTATGGACAAGACAATGAAACATGATAAATTTAAACTTCCAATTAAGTAATATTCATTCTGGAAATTGAGACTGGACCCTTGTTTGCTTTGTGGATTTTAATGATTAATTTACAATAAAAACAAAATCAAAAATTAAAGAATTTAGCTATTCAGAGAAACATCAGGATGGAGACAATGGTAAAAGCAGAAAAGAGAGTTAAAATCGGTAAGATGCTGCTTAAGCATAGGTTTCTGATGATGCAATCACACCACCAATCAGTTGGATTATGTCAACCTAGGAATTTTAAATTATGTGATTTAAATTTCAGTTAGGTGGAAAACTCAACCCTTTATTCCAGCCTTAAAGAAACTTTAAAACAATGCTACTTCATATGTATCAGGACAGGAGTGGGTGGCACTGATGAAAATATACTAATGTCCATAAACGATTATTAAAAATTGGGATCTTCAGCATAAATAAGAGGGAGTGAAATTCATCTGAAGCTATTGAGGTAAAATAAGGAAAAGATGATCCAACAGACATCTCCTCATCTGGCACAGTATCATTGCAAAAAACAAAAAGCTATTTTATCTCAGTGTCACAGTTACAAGAAGCTTTGCAGAATAATTGAACTGATGGGTGGCTGCATCCAAGATGCTTTACTTGTATCTCACAGTTGGTGCGTTCATCAAAGAAGAGGCATGGGTTAGCTGCAAGAGAATTGTACATTTATAAATATTGTCTTTTTAAATCATCTATTATTTATTTATTTAAAAGGTGGTGTGACACATCCTCCTCCCCCTACAACACACACACACACACACACACACAGAAAGATCACTTATCGACTGGTTCACTACTCAAATGCCTGCAACAACCAAGACTGGATTACACTGAACCCAGGGGCCTGGAACTCAATATGATTCTCCCACATGGGTGGCAAGAACCTAATATTTTAGCAATCATCTCCTGCTTCCCAGTATGCAATTAGCAGAAAGCTGCATTGGACAGCGGTGCTACCAAGGTAGGATGCAGGCATCCCTAATAGCATGTTAACCACTGTGTTGAATGCCTTCCCTCGTAAAGAGCAATTTTATCAAGAATAGTTAGAGGCTAGTGTTGTGGTATAGCAGTTAAGGCCCCTGCCTGCAATGCCAGGATCCCATATGGGTGTCAATTTATGTCCCAGCTACTCCACTTGCTATCCAGTTCCCTGCTAATGGCCTGGGAAAAGCAACAGAAGATGGCTCAAGCGTTTAGGCCCTAGCCACCTATAGGAGATACCAGGATAGTGCTCCCTACTTCTTCCTTTGGCCTGGCAAGGCGCTGGCTGTTGTGGCCATTTGCGGCATGAACCAGGGGAGGGAAAATCTTCTCTTTCTCTCTCTCTCTCTCTCTTTCTCTGTGTAAATAAATAAATAAAACATATGAATAAATTCAAAAAATAAATAGGCAATTAAATTTTATCAGTATGAGGAAATTAAATATGAATGTAAAAAGATGATAAATTAAATGACATCATCTATGAGAGAAAAGATAGTATTCTTATCTTGGTAGTTAACAGGTATTTTCATCACAAAATTTTTAGGTATACAACTTAGCACATTAGCAATGGATCATCTTTTCACTATATTGTCATTTTGAAAACATCAATGTTATTAGCAATACAAAATAAAGCAATAAGTTTCATTCATTAGTTTTTACTTTATATAATACTGTATAATTTAATATTAAAAATTTTGCTTTGGATTATTAGAAGTAATATATACTTGATGTAAAAATTGAATGAAAAGGCCGGCGCCGCGGCTCACTAGGCTAATCCTCCGCCTTGCGGCGCCGGCACACCAGGTTCTAGTCCCGGTCGGGGCACCGGATTCTGTCCCGGTTGCCCCTCTTCCAGGCCAGCTCTCTGCTGTGGCCCGGGAGTGCAGTGGAGGATGGCCCAAGTGCTTGGGCCCTGCACCCCATGGGAGACCAGGAGAAGTACCTGGCTCCTGCCATCGGATCAGTGCGGTGTGCTTGCCACAGCGCGCCGGCCGTGGCGGCCATTGGAGGGTGAACCAACGGCAAAGGGAGACCTTTCTCTCTGTCTCTCTCTCTCACTGTCCACTCTGCCTGTCAAAAGAAAAAAAATTGAATGAAAAGCACATATTACAGTTCATGTTAATTAACCCTAAAATGATTTTCCAGCTTCTTCTATTCCATAAATACATGCCTATGTACATATCAAGTATATTCCAAAGCAGAAATTATACACCAAATTTTCCAATCACTATGAAGAGTCCCAATATATCAAACATTTATTTATTTATTTATTTATTTATGTATTTCATATTAAAGGCAGAGAGACAGAGACAGAAGTAGAGAGAGATATCCCAGCTGCTGCTTCACACCCCAAATGGCTTTCACAGCAAGGCTGGGCCAGGCTGAAGCCAGAAGTTTGGAACTCAGCTGGGGTCTCCCTGTGTGAGATAAGTGCCTATCTACTTGAACTTCCCCTTAAGGTGCACATTAGCAAGAAGTTTGGATGGATCGTTTAGCAGACACTCAAACCTGCTAAACCAAGGTACTCTGATATGGGATGTTGCAGTAAATGTCAGCTCCAAGATATTCAACATTTTAGAATTGTGGTAATGGCTACGAAAAATTCACTAAAGCTTCCTTTAATCCAAGTTTCACTTTCAATACTAATAAATAGATTTTTATATTTGAAAGCAAAGTTAACTGTAATTTTTCTTCCTCTTTTAGGATATTTTAAAAACTTTATATAAACTCTTGAATCCTGATAATGTGTCAATTAAAAATTTTCCTCTATTTCCTTTCTTTTTCACTTATAAAGGTTGATCTCACAGCTCTTTTATAAGTTTTACACTTACATTGGTGTGTTTTTCTCTATTATTTTACCCATATCCGGCCGGCGCCGCGGCTCACTAGGCTAATCCTCCACCTTGCTGTGCTGGCACACCGGGTTCTAGTCCCAGTTGGGGCACCGGATTCTGTCCCGGTTGCCCCTCTTCCAGGCCAGCTCTCTGCTGTGGCCCAGGAGTGCAGTGGAGGATGGCCCAAGTACTTGGGCCCTGCACCCCATGGGAGACCAGGAGAAGTACCTGGCTCCTGCCATCGGATCAGTGCGGTGCGACGGCCACGGCGGCCATTGGAGGGTGAACCAATGGCAAAAGGAAGACCTTTCTCTCTGTCTCTCTCTCTCACTGTCCACTCTGCCTGTCAAAAAATAAATAAATAAATTAAATAAATAAATATTTTACACATATCCTTCTGTGACATATGCTTTCCCTTTTCAAAATATTAAACTGACTTATCTTGCAGTTACCCGGATGATTATAGTATATTTATTAAGGTAGGACAGATGAGGGGTGAGTGTCATATTACTACCTGAGCCACTGTGTAGCTGATAACTTACACCTGCTTTTTTCCTTATGATCAATAACTGTCAAGGTTATTACAACTCATTTTCTTTAATCAGTTAGCTTGTTGCTATCCCTATAAGATGTTTTACACAATCTTTTCCTTTATATTTTATTTTTACAATTGTCTCAATTTTATGACTAGAATTGTTTCATGTATTATATTTGTATTAAATGGATTGTATTTACATAGCCAAGTCTTAAATTCCTATTACAATTTTTGCTCAATATATCCCACACTTAGAGTCATATATTTCCTTAATCTCTCATTTACTTAGCGATGATAAAAGGTACTCCACTTGAGTGCCCCTCATATATCTTCTATGTCATAGATAGGATCTTCCTGAGTAATAGTTCTTTCTTACTTTCCTTTACTTCTATTACATGACACAGCAGACATTGATTTTTTTCTTCTGAATACAGAAACAAAACAGAAAACAAAGCAAAATCTACTCACTCCTCATCCTTCTTTCCCAAAGCACAGATGATTGACTTTTTAAAAAGAGAGATGTCTTTCTCCAAGTACATTTCTCATAAGTGGAGTATAAAAATTAAAATTGAGAGGAAGAGAGAGAATGACAGGGAGAATTGGTAGTGGGAGAGAAAGAAGGAGGAGGAAGAATGAGAGAAAAAGAAGATAATAATCTATTATCTGTACTTTAAAAGCCAGAGACTCAGTAAGATTATGGAAAATAAGCCTTCTTGCCTTCCAACTGAAATTCCTGGGATTTTATTTTGCTACAGACTTATGAAATTCTTCTAAATCAACTTTATCCTAGGGATTAAAGTTTTATATTTTCAGGGAGGCTTTTAAAAAGGAACTTTTGCAATCTATTGGAATTAACATATAAATAGATACCCATTTAGTTAAAACTTCACATGAAATGAGCTATACTTATGAAATAAAAGGCAGTCCTGTAAAGGAACCATGAACATCAGATAAGTTCTCACTTCACAGGTGTTTCAAAGGAAACAGAAGAATAAGGATCCCTCCATTAAAAAAAAATCAAGGTACAATAAGTGGTTAGGCCTTTAGGGGATCCTAAAGCAATCTGAGAATACTGATAAGCAAAGCCACGCACCTTGTATATAGACTGCAATAAGCAGAGCTCACAAATGTGTTAAAAGGAGAGAAAAACTGCACTTACAGCAATTTATCCAGGTTAACCTTAACTAATCCTGTGAATAGATACTCAAGTTCTCACACCTGCACATACCATTGCAATGGATTAAATCAATGGTCTGTGGTTACTATGGGGATGGGGGAAAGGTCAGGAGAAATAACGTTGATATTTCCTGCATTAAGTTTGAGATAAAAGTTGTAAAAATAAAAGTGCAATATTGCCAATGATTAATATAAACATGTTTCCCAGATTAATGGATCAAATTTAAGCAAATTAAATTTATAATACTTACTACAAAGTTTATCATCACAGTGATTTGGACAGTCTCCACAAGGGGGGCCCTCCTTATAAGGCAAATAAATTGTCTCAGGATCGTTTCCCCTTAAAGTAGAAAAAAGTAAAAAGTTGTCTAATTTATCACCATAAAATATAATTAAACATTTTCTCACTGCCAAAAACCGCTTTCAAAATCTAATTTTGCAAACATACTTGTAAATAACTAGTGACATTTTTTAAGATGAGTGCAATATATCTAAACACAAACACAAACACACATGATTTTTTAAGTACATACAACCAGCAACTTTGGTGTCAATAAAATATTTTTCAGGCAATGTGCACCTCTCTTTGTAGAGTCACATTCTTCTTGTACTTAGTAATTTTGGACTGTCAAGTTCTAACAGGAGAGCTTTAGAACCAACCACAGTAGGATGCTGTTTTTCATTAACAATGTAAGTGTTTGGCAGGCCATTATAAAAAAAAGGACATGGCTCTTTGACTTTTTAATTTTAAAAAATGTTGTTAACATGTAACACTTGTACATTTTATGGATAATAAAACATTTTCAATACATGTATGCAGTGGAAACTATCAAATTATTTGGTATTTTTTTCCATTCCCTTATATTTTCTTTATATTTGGAGCCTTCCAACTCCTGTCTTCTAGTTTTTTATAGAGTATATAATATATTTTTTGCCAACTATAGCCACCCCTCTGTACTGTGAAACACTAGAGTATTTTTTTTCTTCTTAAAGATTTATTTATTTGAAAGGCATAGTTACAGAGGGCAGGCAGGGGGAGAAATAGAGACAGAGAGAGATCTTCCATGAGCTGGTTCACTCCCTAAATGGCCACAATGGCTTGGGCTGGGTTAGGCCTGGAGCCAGGAGCTTCTTCTGGGTCTCCCATAGGGGTACAAAGGCCCAAGGACCTGGTAATGCCTTCCCAGGTGCATTAGCAGGGAGCTGAAATGGAAGTGGAACAGCAGGCAGCTGAGACTCAACTGGCACTTATGTGGAATGCAGGTGCTGCAGGCCATAGCTTAACCCATTACTTCATAGCACTGGCTCCAGCAGATTTTCTATCTGCGTTTGGATACTTGTTGTCCAACTTAACTTTATCCCCATGACCCTGATCCTTCCCAGCCTCTAGTAAACACTATTGTTAGTTTAGAGTGACTTAAAAAAATTCTACATAGGACATGGTTCCTAAAAATGTTAAGAAAATATCTTAAATGAGTTGAATTGAAGATGTTCTAATTTCATGAGAAACTTGATACAGTTTAGTGATTTGTGTAGAAACATACATGGTATGCATAAAAGAGAAAAGTATATCAGCATGTATAAAATGAAATAAAATACAGGGGTATAGGCAAAAAATATTAGATGAAAAATTTCCTATTCTGAGCTACTTGACATTTGAGAAAAGACAATTCTTGCTTGCAGCTGTCTAAAAACAAAATGTAGATAATTTTTGGCTCTTGATATTACTTAAATCAAAAAATACATGTTCTAGTTAAAAAATTTTAATCTGATATTTGTACTTTTGACATCTCAGCTGTTAAAATTTCACTTTACAAAATAATCTCTAATTTCAGTAAGAGACTTAATCAGAGGCTTGGATTAAGGTTGGGCTGAGAAAATTCTACACGCACAGCAATCTGTGTTTTATTTTTCTTTTTTCGGTATTGACTGAGGTTCACAACAAACCACAAACACCTATAAAATGTGCAAGTGATGTGTTTTAGGTTCAGAGATGTTACTTTTTTCAGGATAAATTACATAAACAAAAGAATACCAAATTATTTTTTTACAATACCAAATTTTTATCTACCAAAATTGGATATAACAAGTCCAGACAATATCTCATATAGACACATGCAGTTATTATTCAAGTAGTCTAGTGAATCTGATAGTAATATTGGAGACCCCATTTGAAATTTAAATATTTTGTCATGTTATCAGATAAATCATGATCATGATTCATGCTGAACAACTTTTTCCTTGATTGTGTTACACACACAAGAGTCAGTCATATTACACCAGGCTTGTAATACCACAGTATGGAGGAAAGTCTCATACGTTTACCTAGAAATTACATATATCCAAACAAGACATGCAGATCTGTCATCAAGGGTCATCAGCAGAAGTGACATCAAATTGGAATTTTTAGTCAAATATATACAGCTCTGAATAACCTTGCTTTTTTGGTAACTATCACTGGGGTCATCAGGTAAGGCCCTGCAGTTATCCTAGTCTTTATTGTGTTTCATAACCAAGGAAAGGGGACAGGGAAGCACTTATTCTACTCACTGAAGTAATCAGAATCCCTCTCTAGGATTTGTAATCGACATCTGTGAGAGAATCTACAACATGCAAATTTAATTTCTAATTAGAAGGCACATGAGAGTGCTCCAAAAAGCTCATGGAAATGAGATTAAGATGTTTATTTTAGTGAAAAAGAAGTTTGAAGTTCATGTAAAGTTTTTTTCATAATATGTATTTCCCAGGAACTTTTTTTTTTTTTTTTTTGACAGGCAGAGTGGACAGTGAGAGAGAGAGACAGAGAGAAAGGTCTTCCTTTTCCATTGGTTCACCCAACAATGGCCGCTGCAGCCGGTGCGCTGCGCTGATCCTAAGCCAGGAGCCAGGTGCTTCTCCTGGTCTCTCATGTGGGTGCAGGGACATACTCCACTGCACTCCCGGGCCACAGCAGAGAGCTAGACTGGAAGAGGAGCAACCGCGACAGAATCCATCGCCCCGACTGGGACTAGAACCCAGTGTGCCAGCACCACAGGGGAGGATTAGCATATTGAGCCACGGTGCTGGCCTTTCCCAGGAACTTTTAAAAGATACCTCATATACTAATTTTGTAACTGGAAAGCTAAGGGTAGGGAAGAATACTTGGTAGTTTTCTATTTGTTTCCTTTTAAAGTTATACTGTGCTTTGGTCCTTCATAGTCTCCCTTGTGGGTTGCAGGGGCTCTGCTTTTCCAGGCACGTTACCAGGAAGCTGGATCAGAAGCAGAGCAACTCAGCTGGAATTGTGATGTAGCAGGTTAAGCCACTGTCTGCAGCACCAGCATCCCATGTGGGCACCAGTTTAAGTCCCAGCTGTTCCACCTCTAATCCAGATCTCCGCCTATATGCCTGGGAAAGCAGTGGAGTATGGCCCAAATACTTGGGACCCTGTACCTACTCACATAGGAGACCTGAGAGAAGCTTCTGGCTTGAACTTGGCCCTGATATGGCTGTTGTGGCCATTCGGGCAGTGAACCAGTAGATGGAAGACCTTTCCCACCGACCCACCCACCCCTCTCTCTTTCTCTGTAACTCTGCCTTTCAAATAAATAAATATTTCTTTTAAAAAAGAGCAGTTTAACCTGCTGTACCACAATGTCAGCCCCAACATTTCTGCCCTTGAATTCTAAAAATATTCCTATTTTGTTGAAGTAAATGTCATTGTTTCTTTGCTTAAATTTGCTCAAAATCACCTTGCTTCTTTGTATGCATTACATCTTATTGGCTTTCCTTATGTAATAACTCCCTGAAGAATCCATGACAACAGCAAAACTACTGGTAATTCAGTTTGAATGCTTATATTATACTAATGTGATATTATTTTATTTAGTAAAAATATGCTATAAAAATATAAAGACATGTATGTATGTTTATGTGTATTGCTAAATGCCATTTATTCTTAAGATTTACCTAACTGAGAAAATTTTTGTTTTCCTTTATAACTTTTGGTTAACTAGATTAGGTTTCTTTCTTTCTTTTTTTTTTTTTTTTTTTTTTTGGACAGGCAAAGTGAACAGTGAGAGACAGAGACAGAGAGAAGACAGAGAGAAAGGTCTTCCTTTTGCCATTGGTTCACCCTCCAATGGCTTCCGCGGCTGGCACGCTGCAGCTGGCGCGCTGTGGCCGGCACACCGGGCTGATCCGATGGCAGGAGCCAGGTACTTCTCCTGGTCTCCCATGGGGTGCAGGGCCCAAGTATTTGGGCCATCCTCCACTGCACTCCCTGGCCACAGCAGAGAGCTGGCCTGGAAGAGGGGCAACCGGGACAGAATCCGGTGCCCCGACCGGGACTAGAAGCCGGTGTACCGGCACCGTAAGGCGGAGGATTAGCCTAGTGAGCTGCGGAGCCGGCCTTACATTAGGTTTCTTTAGGGGAATACATTTTCAAAAGATGTGTGAATCCAGTAACACATACTCATGACAATAGTGACAGATGTAGAGATAGTGAAATATCCTTTGTTGTCGGCACACTGCAACACCACAGCCAATGAGGTAAGAAGTGGCCCAAACAAGCTGTAAAGACAAAGGGATTATTTTATTACTCATTCTATATGTATTACTTATTTGATATAAAATGCTTACAATATCAATTTCACCCTAATTAAAAGTGAGCACGTTTGCTTTTAGGTTTGCTTTGAGCTTGCTCCTTAAGAAGTCCTAGAATCAGCAACAGTCCCATGTATCTAGAAAATACACAAACACATACATGTACATGGATACCAATGACAGAAACCATGTAGAATAAACCAAACCATGTGGACAGAATAGGGTGGGTTGAAAATAGGTGTTTTCTCTATTTATTAACAGTTTATTTGTCTTTGGAAATACATTGGATATTTCTAATTTAAAACACTCCATATCCCTTTTTTATGGGGTATATCTTCCATACACCCTATACAACAAACAACTCAAAATTTATCTGGGATCTAAATCTAAGACCTGAAACCATAAAATTACTTGAAGAAAACGTTGAGGAAACATAGCAAGCTAGTAGCAAAGACTTCTTGGATAAGACTCCAACGACACTGATAATAAAGGTAGAAATAAAAAAGCAGGATTACATCAAAGAAGATTCTGCACTGCAAAGGAAACACAGCAATGTGAAGAGACAACCAACAGAATGGGAGAAAATATTTGCAAACTACATATCTGATAAAGGATTACTATTCAGAATATTTAAGAAGGTCAAGAAACCCAATAACAAAACAAATAATCCAGTTAAGAAATGGGCTAAGGATATAAACAGGCATTTTGCAATGATGAAATACAAATGGTCAATAGACATATAAAATAATTCTCAGGAGCACTATCAGGGAAATGCAAATAAAAATCCCAATGAGGTTTCACTTTACCCCCGTTAGAATGGTTTTCACACAGAAGTCAACAAACAACAAATGCTGATAAGGATGTGGGGAAAAGGGTACTCTAATCCACTGTTGGCAGGAATGTAAACCAGTGCAACCACTGTGGAAAACAGTATGGAAATATTTCAGAAATCTGAGTTTAGACCTATCCTATGACCCAGTAAATTCCCACTCCTGGGAATTTGCCCAAAGGAAATGAAATCAGAATATGAGGGTTATCTGTACCTCCATGTTTATAGCAGCTTAACCCACAATAGCTGGGTTATGGCATCAACCGAGATGTCCATTAATTGATGACTGGGTAAAAAAATATGGTACTGTATACATGATGGAACGCTACTCAGCCATATAAAAGAATGAAATCCTGTATTTCTCAACAAAATGAATGCAACTGGAGATCATTGTGCTTCGTAAAATAAGCCAGTCCCCAAAAGACAAATATATATTATCCCTGATCTGTGGTAACTAATATACAGAGTACAAAAAGTGTAATGTATATGAACAAAATTGACATTTTGAAGCTTGATTATTATTTATAGCCCTTGCCTGTAATCTTGAGGAACAGTGATCTTTCTACTTACTACTTGTTGAATTCCCTATTTATTGGAGAGTTAAGCTTGGGACTGTAAAGAAAATTTGAAGCATGTCATTGTGAAGATTATAAGAAAAACAAGGAAAGAAGGAAGAAGGGTGGGAGAGATAGAAGGAGGGAGGGGAGGTTGTAAGTATCATTATGTCCTTAAAACTGTATATATGAAATGAATGAAATTTGTTTTCCTTTTTATAAAAAAATTAAAATAAAAATTAAAGAACAGGGTGATGTACAAAATGAATAAAAAATTTGCTATTCTATACATGAAATGTATATACACATTCTACTCATTTTTCGGATCACATTATCAAGTGTATTTTGAAATCATTACAAGTCTATGTCAACCATCCATAACTCAATGTGTTATTGGATTTAGAAAGTTGATTTATTAGATCTCACTAAGAAACATGAATGGCTAACATTAGCTCTAGCTCATTCTCTCCTCCTTGCCAATGGTATGTGGAAAATTAATTAACATAAAGAAGGCTGTTTGGTCATTACATGAAATCAAACCATGGAGGGACTTTTCTTACTGATCAGAAAATAAGCATAGTGTAGAATGAGTTGGCTTTCAAGACAAAGTGACTAAGGCTCAGTTCCATCTCTGCCTTTTTCTTGCTGGATGGTACTTAGCAGTTTGTGCCTGGGAGTTTCATTTTCTCATTGGCAAAATGGGATGTAATTAGGCTGTGCTCAAGTGATTGGAAGAGGAAATGCTGTCAGTAAGTGTGGTCACTCCCTCTCCCCACTCCTCGACCCTGCATAATACCGGATAGGCTTTCTCTCAGCTTGTCCTGGAGATTTTGCTCATTTTCTTTTCCTGTTCTTAATAAGGGTAGTTTTGTGTGATTCTCTTTAACATTTTTTTTTTCTACACAGAGAAACGCTTTCATGGGTGCCAGTCTCTCTCCTTACCATATGGCTTTTAATTGCCTGCCAGTAAAAGTAGGTCTTTGCTTATAAACATTTTATGGGGTAGACTCATTGTTTGCAGTTTCCTCCTTCATTCTTCTAATAAATACATATTTCCCATAGGAAACCCTGTTAAACACAAACTAAGGGAGCACATAATTAGAAAGATACTTTGATGATGGAAATACAGAACATTTTTTGTCGTGGCCTTCCTATACATTAATTGGCAATAAAATGATTGAAATTAACCTATTCACTCATTCTTTCAATTCATATTCAAGAGAAAACTTGAAGATAGAACTTTTAGAATTAGGTCTAGAAGCACAAATAGTTTCAGAAAAATGGTTTTTATTGTATGAAATTTTTCTATGGACATATTAATGCATTCACACAGAGCTACAGACAATTGAAAAATGTTACTATTTTCTAGTCTTAGATTATAACCAGATAAAGATGAGTTTATTTGATTGTTTTCTTAATTTCTTAGAAGCAGGCAATGGGAAAAATCATTTTTATAAAATATGCTTTATTTTTAAAGCAGCATTGATTGGGTTTGAAGGAAGCAAAAACAGAATTCTGTTACTATGTCTGGTGACAGGGTTAATATTTTTGTGATATATTTAGTAAATCTAGTTAACCTTTGTATGTATAGAAGATAACAATAGATATCATAAATGTGTCAGATTTTTACCTCTGTATGTGTTTATTTTGTTTGTATCATCTAATCATTTGTAAGAGTAAATTATATGATTAAATAATGTAATATTAATATTAATATCTCCAGGGTTCCTGGCTCATACATTTTATGTTCAAGAGTATCAATATTATAAAGAAGAAAGCTACTTGCTAAAGTTTTATTTAGGATATCTACATTGATATCCACAAGTGATTAAGTCTATAATTCTATTTTTCTATCTTTGTCAACTTTTGCCATCAATTTTAAGTAGGTTCCATGTCAAATATATTTTATTTTAAAATTTGTGAAACTTAACAGTGGACATATCTGAGTTTATGTCTTTGGGAACAATGGCTGTGGGTGATCCTGTGCCTGGCTGGGAGACTGCCTGCCTAGTGCATGCAGAAGGTTAAGAGGGCATGGCACACCATGCCTACTGGGAAGGGAAGGACCCTATGACCTGACTGCTGGCAGGCAGCAGGAGCCCCAGGTGCATTTCCCCCATCCGTGCTTCATGTTAAAAGGCCTTGTAATTGTCAATCAAGTAAACAGCTCCTGGGTGTGGCCCAGACCCATAAGGACCACCTGGTAGGCTACACAGGCTACGTGACCTTTAAGCTGATGGGAGAAGTGTAGAGGCACCAGTATCAGCTTTATCCTATAGAATTAGTATTGCCCTGAACTAGCTACTCCCTCTTTGCATGCCATTTAAAAGTCTGCACCTGATTGTTAATAAATGGACATGTTCACCGAAACTTGTCTCCTGTGCTTCTTGTCGAAGAAGGCTGTTGCCCCACCATGCCGACACTGTGGGCCGCACAGGACAAGCCCCCAAATGGCTGCTTTCCATTTTATTTTTATAATTATTTTTAAATAAGTTGTTCCATTCTCCATCAAGAGCTGGGACTGGTCCAAGCTAATGCGAGCAGCTCAGAAATTTTTAAAGGTCTTCTACATGGGTGGCAGAGGTACAACTACATAATCTACTACCTGCTGCCTAGCAGAGTATATATCAGAAGGATGTTAGGAATGAAGCTGGGTCTGAAATCCAGAAACTCTGTCACGTGATGTAGTTATCCCAAGTGGCATTTTAATCACTTTGACAAACTACCCACCAGTTTATCCAGGTTAAGTGTTTAAATCTTTAATATACTTTAGAATATTTGGCTAATTCATATTCTATTAGAAAATAATGGATTTTTTGAAGCAGGGATTACATTAAATCACTCCTTCATGATTTCTCACAGGGTCTACTTTTAAGGCCTGATTTTCTTTCTGTTCTGAACTCTTTCCACTCTACTATTAACCATGTTCTTGCCTTCTCTTATATCAATAATAGATAATCTTAAAGTGAAATTCAGAATTTCTCTTTAAAAAAAAACCTTAAAAAGAATAAAACACATAGAGATAAACTTAACCAATGACCTAAAATACCTGTACACTTGAGATTTAGAAAATATGTGTGACAGCCATCAAAGAAGGAAGCAGAGCAAGATGGTAGCTAAGATGCTCCAAGTGTTTGTCTTGCCACAGAGGCAACAATTTGAAAAGCTGTGCATACCAAATACCTTCCCAAGATCTAGAAAATGGAGGTGGAAGACCACAGTGCCTTGTATTCATATAATAATAGGAAAACGACATATGAAAGAAGACACAAGGAAAGAGTTACCCATAACCATAGTTGCTACAACTCCAAAGAGTATAAAATAGAGACACCTCCCACTTGGAGGATGGAGAGAATACTAAATGCAGACCTTAGACTTAACATACAGTATTAGGGCCACCAGGATACTTGGTGATGGACAGAGTCCCATGGCCCTTATTTCTAGGAGTGATCCTGGATGCTATTTTGCCTTAAAAAGAATGAAATCCTAACACATTATAGAACATGGATGAACATGGATTTAAAATATGCTAAATGGAATAAGGCAGGCATAAAATGGTAGCTATCATATGATTCCATGTATCTGAGCTATTTCAAGTTGTCAAAATTTCTAGAGACCAAAAACAGAATGATCATTGCCAGAATCATGAGGGAGGGAAGAATGGAGCAACACTGCTGAATACAGAGAGATATTCAATTTGGGGAAGATTAAATTGTTCTTCTGGGAATGGTTGCACAACTGTTAGAAGTATGTAACAATACTGGCCAATAATCATTCATAGTGTAAAAATGGTTACAATAACAACATTGTTATAAAAATGGTTACAGTAACAACATTGTTATATACATTTCACCACAATAAAAATAAAGTTGAAAATGAGGAGATGCTCTGTATTACAAGGAACTCTCATTTCTAGCTGACAAATGAATTTGATATTTTATGACTTTGCAATTTTTTTGAAATATGATATGACTAAACAAGGAAACTAAGGGATTAAGCATCTTATCTCATTCTGTTCAAAATTATATCAGGAACTAGGTAAGTTGAGTCAATATTGCAATAAGAGGTAGGATGATTTTCAGTTGTTTCTTTCTCACCTTTTCCCCACATGCATATAGTTACTTAACCAATGTGTATTGTTGCCTTCACAGGTTACCTGAGTGTAATGCCGAGTTACTACTTCATCTTGTGATATATATTCTCCATATTTGAAATTTTTAGACTCATTGTACCAGATTTCAATTACGTTGGACCATGAGTAAGGAAAAGGTGCCAGATGAATATTTTCTCCACAAAAGGTATCTGAAAGGAGGGAATAGGACTGGGTCATGTTCTTAAAAAAATCGGAATTATTACACCAGGATACTTTTCTTATTTTTATTTTATGAAGTCTCCACTGATTAGCTAGGCAAATCTTTCAAAAAGAGGTAAAATTGATTGTACCCCTGCTGACAATCTTCTTTCTCCTTGAGAATGAGCAGGTGGTGCTCAATTTGCTGAATAGTAACTGTAGGCGATGATGAGCAATCTTTGAAATCACATGAATCAACATTTCAGGGTTTGCTACTTTAAAGCCTAAAACTACAAAATATAACAGGTTCTATAGCTGGAAAGCAGCCACACACTGATTTCATCATGCATGGACCTTACAATAATCATTTGTTGATTTAAGCATCAACTGATTGTATGGGTTCTTGATTTAACATACAGTTTGAGGATAATCTTCCTTTCTCTGGGTCAGGGAAGACCCACATTACTAATTCACTGCTCAAAAATATTAAGATACAATTCCCAATAATCTGGAGCTATGGATGATACATGAGTACTTATTAATTATTTTATAATAAAAGATTCTCAGAAATTAGATATGGTGATATCTAATTGTCTAGAAAGTACTAAATGTTTCTTAAACTAGTATGATTAATCTAATTCTCTATCATAAAGTAGGCTCATTTTTAAGTACCTGAAAATATTCCTCTAGGCAGTGCATCAGAGTTGCATATGATACATTTCCTAAATATACACACTGGCATTCCAAATTTAAAGCAATTCCAATGGTGATATAGTGAGTAACTATATGTAAGAAAAAGATTCTAATTATCTAGTCGCACCTAACACTTCTAAAACTCTGAGGGCCTTGATTATTTTCTCATGATGGTAAAAACTTAGAATCTAAAATTTTACATATTCAGATTTTAAACATTAATGACAATAGGGCAACTATCTTTATACACAATTCAGTGCCTCTCATGGGCAAGCGCACAGACTGGATGACTCAGTTTACTCTTTCCAAGTTACTTCACAATCCCTGTTTTCAATGTGTGTGTGTGTGTGTGTGTGTGTGGTGAGGTAAAATAAGTTCTATTGACATACACCTACTTGCAAGTCTCCTGTCAACCACATCACTTTCTACAGTATCACAATACTTTGACACAGTTCTGGCATTTTCTGCAGCTTCTTCACTCCAACTCTACAGTAAGAAAAGAAAAAACATATTATTTAATTACCATTCCATGGTAAGATTCTAGTGTGTTGTTTCAAAAAATACAAGAATTAGAAATATATTCCAATTCTAGAACTGTATAAACTAAACATTTGAGATACATACATACTGAAAGTGAAAAAATAGAAAAAGATATTTCATGCAAATGAAAATCAAAAGAAAGTAGGAATAGCTATACTCATATCAGACAAAATAGACTTAATGACAAAAACTGCTAAAAAAGACTAAGAAGGTCATTATGTAAGGATTAGGGAATCAACACAATAAGATGCGACTATTGTAAATGTACATACACCCAATTTTAGAGAATCCAGTTTTATAAAATAAATGTTAACGTATAAAAGGAAATATGACCTCAAATACAGTAATACTGAGGGACTTCAACACCCCTACTTTTATCAACAGGCAGATGAATGAGACAACAAGTAAACAGCAGAGCTAATCTAAACTACAGGCCAATAGACATATATAGATGCAGAATAAACATATTTCATCAGTGCATGGAACATTCTATAGGATAGACAATATACTAGGTATTAAACAAGTGTCAACAAATTAAAAAATTAAATCATATCATATTATCTTTTCTGATCATAGTGAAAGGGGGCTGGAAATTAAAAACAAAAGAAACTCTAGAAATTATACAAACAAATGGAGACTGAACATTATGCTCTGAAATTAACAGTACATCATAGAAGAAACCAAAAAATTCCTTAAAATGAATTAAAATTAAAATACAATCTATCAAAACTTATGGGATGGAGCTAATGCAATATGAAGAGGAAAGGTATAGTAATGCATGCCTACATAAAAAAAGATATCAAATAAACAATCTAACAATGCATCTCAAATCAAGAAAAAGAAAATCCAAAATTAGGAGGGGGAAGAAGTAATAAAAATTAGAGGAAAAATAAACAAAATAGAAATTTAAAAACTGTACAAAAGATCAATGAGATGAAGAACAGATTTTTTGAAAAAATAAACAAAGTTGATAAACCATTGGCACAACTAACCAAGAAAAGTGGGAAAATATTCAAATTAATAAAATCAGAGATGAAAAAGTAGATATTACAACTGATGCCCCAGAAATAAAAATAATTATTATGAATTATTATGAATAAGTATTTGCCAACAAATTGGAAAATCTAGAAGAAATGTACAGATTTCTGGACATATATAACAAAACTGAAGCATGAAGGCATAGAAAGCTTGAACAGACTAATAATCAAGAATGAGATTAAACCGGTAAGAAAAAGCCTCTCAGCGAGAGTCAAGTACTGGATGGCATCACTGCTGAATTTTACTTAACTTTAAAGAACCAACATCAATTATTCTCAAACCAATCAAAACAACTGAAAGGGAGGGAACCCTTATGAACTCTGTATCTGCCAGCATTACCTTAATTTCAAAACCCGAGAAAAATACAATCAGAGAAAGAGAGAAAGGGAGAGAAGATACTATAGACCAATATCCAATGAACATAGACGCAAAAATTCTTAACAAAATATTAGCAAGTCAAATCCAACACATCAAAATGATTATCTACCCTGAGTAAGTGGCATTCATCCCAGGGCTCAACAGATGCAGAACAATAAATGTGATATATAATATCAACAAAGTGAAGCATAAAAACATATTATTGACTCAATAATGAAGAGAAAGCACTTGATAAAGTACAATTGCCTTTCATAATAAAAATTGCAAAAAATATGTGTTTGAAAGGAACATACATCACCATAACAAAGTTAGTATGTGAAAAACCCACAGCATTTCTTCTAATATGTGAAACTAAACAAGAATGTCCACTCTCACAGCATTATTGAATATAATTTTGAAAGTTTTAGCTGGAGCCATTAGGCAATAAATAAATAAATAAATAAAACACAGATTGGAAAGGAAAAGGTCAAATAATCCCTGTTTGCAGATGGCATAGTTCTTCATTTAGGGGAACAAAAAGACTCCAATAAGAGACTACAAGAACAGGTCAGCAAATTTGTAGGACTTAAAATCAACACACAAAAATCAATAATGTTGTTATACACCAACAACGATCTGACTTAGGAAGTATTTATAGGGTCTGTCACATTCAAAATAGCTACAAAAATTTAAATACCTTGGAATGAATTTAACCAAGGATGTGAAAGATCTATGCTGTGAAAATTACAAAAGATCAATGAAAGAAATATAAAAAGATAAAAAAAATGGGGAAATCTTCCTTGTCCATTGATTGGTAGAATTAATGTTACCAAATTTTCTGTTACGCAAAGCCATATACATTTTGAATGCAATTTCCATCAAAATCCCAAGAACATTCTTCATAGAAGTAGAAAAAAATATCCTAAACTCAATAATTTGTAAATTGGGGAAGATGGTAGTAGAAGAATTAAATGAATTAATGTAACAACAAAAGTACTAGAAGAATGTCTGTACAAAAATCATATGCATGTAAGCTATGGCATAAGAATGTCCATGAATTATTGATTTTATTATTTTGTTCAGACAATACTTTGGATTTTAAGGTAGCTAAGACAAGAATTTCAAAATTGCTTTACCAGTCCCTTCTTTTCTCCCATCCATCATTTGCAGAAGAGAGTTTTCGATTGGCATTTCCCTCCAGAACAAACACTGTTTCCAACCCTTGCTACTCTGGGCCAGTCCAGGCTTCAGGGAAGCAGGCTGAGGTTGCCCATAAACATGAGAGCTGTTGCTGAATAATAAATGTGAGGCTTATCACCTCATATGCTTAGGTCTTCCCTAAATTTATGTTGTAGAAGAACACCTTGAGTTTATAGTAGAAAGGCCATTTTTCTAAGATTTTATGGATTTTAAAGGCTAGCAAATAGATTTGCCTGTTTTTTTTTTTTTTTTTTTAAACCTAGACGCACAAACTGGCTTACAATATGGACATCTTAACTCTCAGATGAGTGTCTTAGCATCTGTACTACTGCCCATTGCAGACAACCATGAAAAGCCTAGATAGCTTGTTAATACAGGTCTTCTGTGTGTACTATCAGAACCTGCATCAGCTGGGAGCTTGTGGTGCACCTGTATCAGCTGGAACCTATGCCAGGTTCTTGGAGAATAAGGCTTAGGAAAGTGTCCTGTTTCATGGTTCTTCAGGTGCTTCTCAAGCAGGGTAAAGCTGGAGCAGCCCTGTTCTAAGGCGTGTGAGTGAAGCTAGACTGCGTGGGTCAGAACTGTTTCTCTGTTGCTGGCTGTATGATTGTGGGGAAATTACTTACCTCCTGCAGGCCTCTGTTTCTTCTGCTGTTGCCGTTGGTCTGCCATGACCACACAAATGTCCTCAGATGGAAAGTGCACAGAACTGAATAAAAACTCAGTGAACACCATTACTATTATTGTAATCATTCATGCACTGTTGTGTTTGCTTACCATCTTCACCATGTTGCTGGCTGAAGGAACTACTTCTCTCCTTATCTTGTTGTGCAGATTCACGATTTGTTCTTGGATAATTGGTGATTCAGTCAAAAGGCTTTTAAATCGGGCTCTAGCTGCTTTGTACTGTTATTAGAAAATTATCAATTAGTGATACTTCATTTGAGAGGATTTTGTCACATATATTTTTTAAAGATTTATTTATTTATTTGAAAGTCCAAGTTACACAGAGAGAGGAGAGGCAGAGAGAGGAGAGAGTGATCTTCCATCCAATGGTTCACTCTCCAGATGACCGCAATGGCTGAAGCTGCGCCGATCTGAAGCCAGGAGCCAGGAGCTTCTTCCAGGTCTCCCACAAGGATACAGGGGCCCAAGGACTTGGGCCATCTTCTACTGCTGTCCCAGGCCACAGCAGAGAGCTGGATAGGAAGAGGAGCAGCCGGGACTAGAACCAGTGCCCATATGGGGTGCTGGTGCTTCAGGCCAGGGCGTTAACTCATTGCGCCACAGCGCCGGCCCCTTGTCACATATATTTTTCAAAGGCCCACAGACAATGTGAACTTACTGTTTGAATGAACACTGGTCTTTAGTATTTTCAAATTTACATTTCTCAGTGTATTAGATTCCATTTTCCCATGGTCAGTTTTGAATATTTTAAAAGTTATTTATTCAAAAGGCAGAGTGACAGAAAGAGGGAGAGACAGAGAAATAAAAGATCTTCCATCTACTGGTTCACTCTCCAAATGACTGCAACTGCCATGGCTGGGACAGTCCAAAGCTAGGAGCCTGAAACTCCACTCAGGTCTCCCACATGGCTTATAGGGATCTAGGTACTTAAGCCACTTTCTGCTATCTACCAGGATGCATTAACAGGAAGCTGGATTAGAAGCAGAGTTTGAACCAGCATTCTGGGGTGGGGGCATCCCAAAAGGTAGCTTAACAAAATGTCCACTCGTAGTGTTTTTGTTTTTAAAGGCACAGTGATGCGGGAGTGGCGGGGGGAGAGGAAGAAGCAGGAGGAGGAGGAGAAAGGAAGATGAAGAAGAAGGAGGAGGAGAAGGAGGGGGAGGAGGAAGAAAAGGGGGAGAGGAGAGGGGGAGGAGGGGAGGGGGAAGAGGGAGAGGAGGAGGGAGAGGAGGAGGAGGGAGAGGAGGAGGAGGAGAAGGAAAAGGAGAAGGAGAAAAAGAAGAACTTCTATCCACTGGTTCACTCCCCAAATGGCCGTAAAGGCCAGGGCTGGACCAGGCCCAAGCCAGGAACTTCGATCTCCATGCAGATCGCCCATGTGGGTGGCACTGGCTCAAGCACTTGGGCCATAATCTGCTGTTTTCCCTGATACATTAAACAAAACTGGATTGGTGAAGTGGAACAACCAGAACTTGAAATGGCTCACATAAGTGATGCCAGAATTAAGATCAGTGGCCTAACCCACTGTGCCACAATGCTAGAACCCACTCCTAATTTTGAGGAGTTCTGAGTGTCACATTGCTATTATACTGGTCTTCAGAATAAGAAGCTGATATGTCTGTGACCAGGATTTTTAAAACCTAGAATTTATATTCTGGGCCATGTTGAAGCATGTTTTATTGGACAATAGGAACCACAATGGAGTATATCTTGAAATCACACATTTTACTGTATGACTTCCCTTCCTTGGCTCATTCTTCACCCCACCAGCCTCCAAGCAAGACTGCACTTGCTTTTCAAATAAACCACTTGCACTTGAATCCTTGTCTAATGGTATGTGTCTGGGAAAATCGATACTCAGAAGTTCATTATTCTGTATAAAGCCTCAAATATTATTCACTCAAGTTTTTTTTTTTTCTTTCTTTTGCTTGTATGGGAAAACACCAGTATCTGCAGATGCATATGTAAGAAAATATTAAAGAAAATAGAAATTCACCTAGAATTGTTATTTTTAATTTGTTAACATTTTACCCTAATGCTCACTAAGAAGAAAAATACATAACCCAAACTCTCTAGGTTAGCACTATTATAGGAAACATTTTTGTTTGTGAAACATAACATGTATCTTATACTTTTTTAAGTGACAAAACTGATATAATATCATTTGCCTGATACATGCTTCTTTCTCAGATACTGCAGGACTGTCAGAAAAATTCATGAACGGATACAATTCCAAATTATACCTTGATCAAATATAGAAATAGTTATTTGCCACTAGTTTATTATTTTCATAAATTCACTTATTTATATGAGAGGGAAAGAGATGAAGAAGAAGAGGGAGAGAGAGAAGGGGGGAGAGGGGGGGAGAGAGAGAATCCCATGTACTGATTTACTTGCCAAATGCTGGTATTGGCCTGCAGCTGAGACCAAAGTTGAGAGCCAGGAATTCAATCCAGTCCTCCCACTTGGAGGCAGGGACCCAATTACTTGAGCCATTGGTTCTGGCTTCTAGATTCTGCATTAGCAGGAAGCTAGAGTTAGGATCCAAAGGCAGGTATGCAACGTAGGCATTCTATTGTCTAAACTGCTAGGCTAAATATGCACACCTGTCACTTATTTTACAACAGTTTTAGAGTGTTGAGAAGGCATAAATAGGGACCCCAGAAGACTCCTCTAGAGACGGTTGCTTTGGATGTAATTTCCTAAAAACATTTTCACTCAGCAAGTAGTTGTAGGCTAGATTAGAGATTTGGGATTCCAAACAGTCCACATGTTACTTTGGATCGTAACTCACCTTACTCTTCTGAAAACTCTTGCTCCACTGAAAGTCATGTCATTTACTTCTATCTCCTCATCCTTATAATTTCCAATTGTGGTTTCTCTGTGACTTCCTCTTATGTATGGAAACTGGGTCTCCTGAAAAATTCATGCAGATTTCTGCTTTCCAAGCTGCTTTCTTTGGCCCTTGAACTCTTCCTCCTTTAAGCTTCACCTTCGATCCCTTTCAGCTTCTCACTTCTACGATCATCAACTATATTTCATGATCATTTCAAAATACTACAGCTCTCACAGATAACTAGGTCAAATATTCCTCTGCTCAAAATTTCCGATCTTCTAAGTTGCTAAAATCAACCACTCTGTCTTCAGCATAAGCTAGTCTTCTAGCTCATTCTGCATTTTCTTTTTTAACTCCATCTGGTCTTTTCTTTGTGCTATATATATGTCCTTTTATACCAACAACTTTTTCTAGAATACTGATCCATCGTCTCTCCACTCACATCTAGAAATATTTGGCCTGGGAACATGTCAACTTTGGAGAAGAGTACTAATTTTCCTGGGTGCATTGTCAGTTGAGCATTGTCAGTAAAATATTCCACAAAATGTGAAACATTGATTACCACTCCAAATTAGCATGATTAGCCTCAAATTGTCCCTTTATTTTACTGTTCAATTCTACTCAACAATCTGGTAAATGCATTTGCTTTTCTAAAACACTATTATAATACTTACATACTCTCTCCTATGCACATCTATTTCTCTCAACAGATTGATAAATACCCTACTCTCCACAGTAAGTTGAAGCTATTAAGGGACAGTAGCTTCATCTTCTCTTGCCTAGCCCACCAGTCTACGTGTATCTGTCCATGTTCTTTTTTCTATTTTTGGGGTACTAGAGAATGGTTCATTTCTTCTAAAGTTCAGTTTCCCACAAGCATTTGTATCATTTCATTCTTTTCTACCTTTCTTAATCTCACATTACTCTTTTTTATTCATATTAGGTTTATCTTCAATCACTCACTCTTCTTAGCTAATCCTAATAGTGTCTAGTCATGATCATGATACTTGTGTCTTAAAATAAACACCTCTTCCTTTACCTCCTTTTTCCATTCAACTACTGTGCCATTTCTCTGTTGCCTCACCTTATTAAAATTCCTGTGATGACTGTTGACCTTAGCTTTCTACAATTGGCCACTGTCTAAGTGATAAAGTTTTGTACCTCACCCTCCTTCCATTATTCCATCACAATAATGATTATATATTAGAACTGATCCCATCTTCCTACCAATCCCCTGCCCTCTGCCCCAAAGGAAATAAGCAATGTTCATAGAAATTTTTGGTCATTGTGATGAGAGAAGAATGTTCCTGCCACCATGTAGAAAGAGGCTAGGGGGCGGCGCCGTGGCACACTAGGTTAATCCTCTGCCTGCGGCTCCAGCATCGCATATGAGCTCTGGGTTCTAGTCCCGGTTGTTCCTCTTCCCGTCCAGCTCTCTTCTGTGGCCTGTGAAGCAATGGAGGATGGCCCAAGTGCTTGGGCCCCTGCACCCTCATGGGAGACCAGGAGAAAGAACTTGGCCCCTGGCTTTGGATCGGCACAGCGCCGGCCATTGCAGCCACTTGGGGAGTGAACCAAATGGAGGGAAGACCTTTTTCTCTGTCTCTCTCACTCTCTGTAACTCTGTCTGTCAAAGAAAGAAAGAAAGAAAGAAAGAAAGAAAGAAAGAAAGAAAGAAAGAAAGCAAGCTAGGGATATTGCTGCCCAACTTCTATAGTTGCAAAATGTCAGCAGATCTGCATTGAGAAACTCTGCATTGAAACAATTCCTAGTAAGATGACTGGCCAAGCTCAATTTGTATTTCCAATATTTTTAATGCCTGTATCTTGCCTGGTCTATTGACAGCTGGATCCTTTACCAAAGTTCCAGTGGAGACATACATTTTTTCGTGGTGTGAGGGACATCATCTTTTCTTCACTGTCCTCTTGCCTCTCAGACTTCTCTGCCTTCATCTGAACTGACATGCTTACTTCTTGACCTTCCACCAGCCTCCCAGAATGCATTAATACTTACTGCCTTTACACTCTCTCTCTCATCCCTTATCCAACTCTTCATAATCCATTCTACAGTCATCAAACAGAGTAAAGACTTCCAAAGACAGCACAATGGAATCACTTTTCTGTGGGAAGTCTTTAACAGAATACAGCTGTTAGAAGACTTCTGTTTAGGATATGCTTCCATACTTTTCTCTGTCTCAGTCACTGGGTTTTTCTTTCAGTTATCCCAATGTACCAGTTTCCATCATGCCTTAGAACATTTGCCTTCACATGTCCTTTTGATCATATGCACCATTCCAGCTTGAAAGGCCAACATATCCTTTGGATTTCGGGTCCACTATTCAGGTCCTCAGGAAGATCTCTGATCACCTCAGACAAGACCAGTTGTGCATGTTAATTGATCACAACACTGCCTTCAAAGACCTATTTGTGTATCATCTACCAGTTTCTTTTAGAAAACTATGTATCTGGTAGCCTACCAATTTCCGTTCAATGAGACACCCTGTTTTCCAGAAAACTTTTAAAACTGTAGGACATTTAAAATAAGATTCAAGTCTGGTGGCCAGTCTATATATTTTTGACCTGGAATATAGAAAAATTAAAGCACAGAAATATTTTTGTCATCAAATTGGAATATCTGACTATTTACTTTACATCAGATTCATGTTTAAGGTTCGTGAAATAAATTAGTGTTTGAGTTTAATGTATATTCTTTTTTTAATTAAAAAATTCTCATGCATTCATGCTATCAGTAAATTGTTTACAAAATGTTATGCAAATATCTCAATAATTCTCTGTTTATAGAATGTACAATATACAATGCCTTCCATTTTTTCATATTTTTGTTTTGGATTCTTGGTTAGTAAATCAATCAGGTTTTGTTTCCTTGAATGAGCGGATTCCTAGCAATCTACATTTTTCTATGGGCTTTTAATGAGTGATACTGATTCCCTCTTATTCATGGAAGTCTAGGCTGCCTCCTAGAACTTGAGCTAAGTGGTCTTCACTCCCTGTTTGTAGGTTTTATAGGCAAAGATATGTTTCTGACTATCTGCCTTTCTACTTTTCCTCTGGAATGGTGGAGATGCGTCAGCTTAGCTTTTTCATTCTGTGATGCCTGATTGCCTTTTCACATTGGATGGAGGTGGGGAGTAGGAAGAGAATCTGAGGAAAGGAAGGGGAAGTTCTCTTCAAGCCTCTAATTCGAGCTTGTGAGAGGTTGCTAGGTGGTGTACAAGAATTCCATCTGGTCTATCTTTGGGGAACAGCTATGAGTAACAGCATCCAATCACAAAAACACCAACCCTATAGCCTAAGGCATTTGGTGTTTCTTTCATCAATAAAATTAAGTGCCTTCCACCTTCACTTCTCTTACCTGACCTATGAAACTATTCATAAAAATGAAACCAATAATTCTCTATACCAAAGCCATTGACTTTGGCTTGTCATAAAAGCATTTTGGGTAAATTTATATGTATACACACACACACATATATATATTTCTTTATGTTATTGAGATTATTTAAAGGTAAATAATATTGGCTGATCATAAATTATTAGGGAGCTACCCCATTCAGTATTTTGCTTCAATTTTGTGATTCTTTTGGTCCTTATGTTACTAAGTTGTGCTATTCAGGACTCATATTTTGATTCCCTTGCTAGAAGTACCTCTCACCACTGTCTTTTTAAAAAGATTTATTTATTTATTTGAAAGTCAGAGTTGCACGGAGAGAGGAAGAGACAGAGAGAGAGAGAGAGATTTTCAATCTGTTGGTTCATTCCCCAGATGGCCACAATAGGCAGGGCTGAGCTGGGCCAAAGCCAGGAGCCAGGAGCTATATCTGGATCTCCATATGGGTGGCAGTGGCCTAACTACTTGAGTTTTCCCCAGGCCATTAGTAAGGAGCTGGATCAGAAGTGGAGTAGACAGGACACAAACGGGATGCTGGTGTCACAGATAGTGGTTTTATCTGCCATACCACTATACCGGCCACTGCTCTGTCTTTAAAGTTGGAAATTTTCAATTTTATTTATTTCAATGCATTAGTTCTTATTATAGTGAAGAATCTTATAGCACCATTGAAGTATTCTGAAAGTACTGACTGCCATGATTTGATCATGATTTGACTCTGATCTCATGCAGGAATTTAAAACCCAAAGTCAAATTAATGGTAGTAAGAGTGTGGAAACTTAATCTAATTTGGTGTATAGATGAGACTTTTGGAGGACTGATTAAGATTGGATTAGATCATTAAAATGGAACACTCATGATTGAATTCCTAATGAGAATTTCATAATGAGAAAGTGAAGGAGACAGATCACAGATGATAGTGACAGACAGACACACCCATGCACTGTCTCTTGCTCTATGAAGCACTGAACACATTGGGACTTCACCAACAGGATTGCTGTTACCAGAGGCTGAACCAGTGTGATCCATCCAATCTTGGATTTAGTACCTCCAGATCTGTGAGACAAAATAGCCTCTCTTCTTTATAAGATAACCTGCCTCAGGTATTTTGTTATGGTACTAAAGGGCTTGGCTAATACATTTAACTTGTCTGGGAACCAACAAACAAAAAAACTAAAAAAAGTTGTTTCCTGCATGTATAAGTTATGAATAGATTATAATGAAGTAGTTCCTATCCTACATTATTGGTTTTTTGTTGAAGTTTTTATTTTATTATTATTATTATTCACCAGAGGAGTTATAACTAAACAGGCATGGTCCCATGAAACTATACACTAATTAAATTTGCTTTAAAGTCTTTCTATTTCCTCATCATCTAACATTGACCACATGCCTTTACGTCACTATAATTTTATTCTTTACTCTGTTTTATGGTATTAAGAATGGCACTTGTGTAATAGGGCTATTGTGAGAAATAGAGGAGTAATTGATGAATCATTGTCATAACTGTGCTTATAGCCCTTTTCTTATAAAGGGTTATATCTTATCCTTATCTATACAGTAATTTTGAAACATATAATTATTTCATACTCTTAAAGTCAAAACAGGCAGGAACCCAGCAGCAGCAGCAGCCAAAAACAGGAAATATTTCATTGCCATCCCTAAAAAAGAAAAGGTTACACAATCTTATATTAATCTCAACTCATGGGATGATATTTCGCAACAAACATTTTAAGACCTCTTTTACACATGTTCTGTGAAAATGAACCCACAGGATTAGAACAAAGAAACACATACATTAGTTATTATTAGAGGGAAATATGGAACTATGGTTGGAAGGATAATGAGCTCCACACAATGTAAATTCCTTAATTTCTAGAATCCTTGAATATGTTACATCATGTGTCAAAGTAGTAGATGCAATCCAAAATGCAAATCAAGTAACTGAGATGGAAGTGGGAAGATTATTTTAGATTACACAGTGACACAACGTAAACTCCAAGGTGAACTGTGGGAGACTGAGTCAAAAGTGTAAATGCCAGTGATGCAGGATGAAAAGGACTACCCATCATTGCTGGGTGTTGAGTAGGAGAGAGCCATAAGCTAAGGAAAGCAGTCCCTGTAAATAGGGATTCAAAGAAACCGATTTCTCTCTAGAGTTTCCCTGTGGACACCTTGATTTTAATGCAGTGAGGCATCATCTGAACTTCTCATCTTCAAAATTATAAGATAAAAGATTTGTGTTTTAAGCAACTGAGTTTAAGATAATTTACGCAAGAGGAAATTAATACCAGATCACTGCAAGATAAGATTTGACTTCTCCATGGCTTACAGAGAAGATATGTGATCCTGTTGCTAGTAATTTGTGTATGTGACTTAGATTTGCATTATACTATTTGATCACTCTGTTGTGAACGGTTATCACCGTTCTAGAATCAGGAAAATGAGAGTAACATATCTTCTCCTTTCTTTTCTATTCTTTTTTTAAAATATTTATTTATTTATTTGAAAGGCATAGTTACACAAAGGGAGAAGGAGAGGCAGAGAGAGAGAGAGAGAGAGAGAGAGAGAGAGAGAGAGTCTTCCATCCACTGGTTGACTCCCAATTGGTTGCAAATTGCTGGAGCTGCGTTGATCCAAAGCCAGGAGCCAGGAGCCTCTTCTGGGTCTTCCATGTGGGTTCAGGGACCCAAGCACATTTCCTACTGCTCTCCCAGGCCATAGGCCAAGAGCTGTATCGAAGTGGAGCAGCCAGGGCTCGAACCGTTGCCAATAGGGGATGCCAGCACTGCAGGCAGCGGCTTTACCTACTACGCCATAACACCAGCTCCTCCCCTTTATTTTCATTTGATATAGTTAGCTAACTCCAAGGTGATAATAAGTTTAGGTTTTACAATTAAGTGGAACCCTCTTTTCACAATCTACCAACTTATTTCTGAATCCACCCTGCTGTTTTGGAAGCAGAAAAGGCTAATCATTTGGTTCTTATTTTACACAAGCAAACACTTTATGGAACAAGGTAAATGATTTGTACAGAATTTTTTTTTCATGCAATCAGATGGTTTACCATTGCTTACAAGTTTCCCCTGCCCGCTATTGATCATGTTGGATATGAGAGGAATTCTTTAAATCAATACTTTCAGGGAACATACACATGCAAACATTCTCACTTTATTGCTCTTTTTTCGTGTGCAAACTTCTCCAAACGTTCATAAACTGTTATACCCTAGAAGTCACAATAATGTAGTGACGTAGATGATTACATGTGCATCCCATTCTTGTACTTAATTTTCACAAAATTTAGTAAAGCAGATGATTCAGAACTTGTTGTTAACTGAAAAAAATAAACATATGCTTGAAATAGTCCAGGTTAATATATCCCCATACATTAATATATATAATATGTCATACTACATATACACATATATGCAAATACATATATTAAACTCTATTAAATATATTTTGTGTGCATGAATTGTGTATATACAATGTATATACTATATAAATATGTTCACTGAAATATTATTCAGCTTTGCCCCGATCAAGAGGCTGTCGATAACTTTTTTTTTTTTTTAAGATTTTATGTATTTATTTAGGTGGCAGAGTTACAGACACAGAGAGGCAGAGACAGACAGAGGGGTCTTCCATTTGCTGGTTCACTTCCCAAATGGCCGCAATGGCTGAAGCTGGGCCAGGCAAAAGCCAGGAACCTGGAGCTTCTGTTTCCCACGTGAGTGCAGGGCCCCGAGCACTTTGACCATCTTCCACTGCTCTTCCAGGATACAAGCAGAGAGCTGGATTGGAAGAGGAGAAGCTGGGAAATGAACCAGTGCCCACAGGTGAAGGCTTAACCTACTATGCCACAGCACTGGTCCCTTTTTATAGCTTATATCAATGCATTTTCTGCAGAAATTTTTGCTGATGATGTGTACTTATGATCTTGACTAATATGGTATTTTCATGGCTATCTACCAATGCAGACTTCAGTTGTGTTTCAAAATATATAAGGTTTAGGAAATTCCAAAAACAATCTATTTGACAATTCTCTAACAACTGTTATTGACAGTTGAAGCTTTGTCTTTTAGTCTTTTTTGCTAGCACAAATTCAGTACTAAATTGAATTTACATATAGAAACATATGTTTCTATATGTAAACATAAAACAGAAGTTATATAAAGTGTTTCATTGTTTTTCCTATAATATCTATTATTATATTTTCTTTTTCTTTTTCTTTTTTTGACAGGCAGAGTGGACAGTGAGAGAGAGAGACAGAGAGAAAGGTCTTCCTTTGCCGTTGGTTCACCCTCCAATGGTCGCCGCAACCCGCGCACCGTGCTGATCCAATGGCAGGAGCCAGGTACTTATCCTGGTCTCCCATGGGGTGCAGGGCCCAAGGACTTGGGCCATCCTCCACTGCACTCCCGGGCCACAGCAGAGAGCTGGCCTGGAAGAGGGGCAACCGGGACAGAATCCGGTGCCCGGACCGGGACTAGAACCCGGTGTGCCGGCGTCGCAAGGCAGAGGATTAGCCTAGTGAGCCATGGTGCTGGCCTATTATTATATTTTCATTATCAGCAATATTTTGACAATATGAATGATCTAGAATTTGCCTAATATTTCATGTTTGATTTTTAAACTGTTCATACTTCTGTGCTATAAATAGTATAATGATATTTTGCACACATGTTTCTACCATTTGTAGGCCTTTTTTTCATGAATTTCCATAGAGTTTGATCCCCAGAATTAAAATTATTGAAATCTGTGTTTGTACTCTTCTGAGATAATGCAAATATAATTTTACCTCTAAATACACCCAATTCATAATAGATGCTTGTTAAATCATAATAGATTTAGCAAATAAATTTATTTCTGTGCAGTTGAAATAACTGATTATAAGATTTGAAGATGCACACAGAGTTAATTCAATAGAATAAGATATGCTGAAAATCATATTATTCTGGAAGTTAAAAAAAAAACAACTTAGTATTTTTCCTTAGATTATCCTCTTCCTTATGACACTACAAAATCTACAAGTTCTCTGAAAATCGATTCCTTTTTAGAAAGAAATCCAGGGCCGGTGCCGCGGCTCACTAGGCTAATCCTCCGCCTTGCGGCGCCGGCACACTGGGTTCTAGTCCCGGTCAGGGTGCCGGATTCTGTCCCGGTTGCCCCTCTTCCAGGCCAGCTCTCTGTTGTGGCCAGGGAGTGCAGTGGAGGATGGCCCAAGTGCTTGGGCCCTGCACCCCATGGGAGACCAGGAGTAGTACCTGGCTCCTGACATCGGATCAGCGGGGTGCGCCGGCTGCAGCGCGCCAGCCATGGCGGCCATTGGAGGGTGAACCAACAATAAAGGAAGACTTTTCTCTCTGTCTCTCCCTCTCACTGTCCACTCTGCCTGTCAAAAAATAAAAAAAATAAAAAATAAAAAAAATAAGAAAGAAAACCAACATGTTTGGAAGATACAGATGATGTTCAAATCCATAGGACTTTATGAGACAATCAACTCTTAAAGTTAATCATGTTGTTTTCATATTGTTGTAATCTGCTACACAGAAAACAGGCCATTTTTGTTGTTTTTAGGGTCACGTAGCTGTGTGGGGCTACAGAGTCAAAGAATGAAAATAAAAGTTAAAAGATAAAAACAGTAGGACATCAGACGTGCATGAAGAAGTTTAGGAAGAGGACTGAATCCAAGTAATTATAAATTAGTTCCGTAACCCAGAATTATTGAAGTGTACACTTTGGGCTCTTAGATAATCTTAGGAGACACAAATCACAATGGGAGTCAGAGGGTAGAGCTGAAGGAATAGAAACTGGCAAGCAATAAGCAGAGGCAGCCGTTTTAGGCAAACACTGACTCTTGTGGATGTAACAATGAGGCAGATACAGAGATTAGAATTGGAGAGCATGACTCAGAGGATGAACAGTGTTGCTGGGGATGTGCTGGGGTAACACATCTGAGGGTCTCTGTGGATCCATACTAAGATTATTCACCAGAGCCTTGCGTAGGATACCTCCCAGGGGCTGGTCTAGGGTTAGCCTTCAGGATGGGCTACATGACTCTTCACTGCTTGGAGGATTCCAAACCTAAAAATTAAGGTGGCCTTTTCAACAACACAATTAAACAGCTTCTTGAACACAGGCAAAGGCACAGAAGTATTACGGAAAGCAGAGGAATCACTTCATTAGGCACCACTTCATTGCTTAAGCATCAATTCCTTAAAGTGGTTTCATGACAAAAGGCCAATATGAGGGTACATAAGAAAGTTCATAGAAAATGGAATTAAAATGTAATTTATTTTGGTGAAAAAATTTTGAAATCCATGCATAGTTTTTGTATTCATTTTCATCAACTTTTTGAATACTCCTTATCGTCTTAAACATTTTAATGTCACAAATAAAATTGATATCCTATTTAAATTTATTTTCTTTAACTTTTAGATTAAGATTGTGCCTCCATATTAACAGACAGATAGTCTATGAACCATTGAAAGCTAATGTTTAGTGGGAGGAAACATCAAGGGTAAGGGCAAACACTGAGAATGAGGTGCTGCCTCACATCATGTCCTCATGCGTAGACCCTCATGCATGAAGCTGTTAGAACAAGAGATCTCTTACACAAAGAACAATCCGTTCCTTGCCTTAACCCCCCAAAATTGATAAGGTTGAACTGTACAAGGAGCCTATCATTTTTTTTTATCTTTTTTGCCTCCGTGAATCTACTGATCCTCTAATCTACTGAAATCAAATACACAGTCTGATAAATTTATATATGCAAGTACATACTTCATACACTTGTGCAACTGCTACCAAAATAAATACACATCTATAGAATATTTTCAGCTTCCAACAAGGACCCTCATGCCCCACTTCCAGTCATTAGCCATTATAATAAAAAGTACCCTGATTTTGATAACTATGGGTTAGATTTATTAATTTTCATATTTTGTATAACTGAATAAGTAACTAAGAAGTAATTTTAATGCCTAACCTCTTTAACTCAATATTATGCTGTTGAGGCTTATCCAAGTTGTCTATGAGGAAGTTTGTCATTAATAGCTATGTGAATTTTCATATATGCATTACATGTACTTTATTTACTATTCTATTGTTCCTAAGTATTTTGATTGTTGTTAGTTTAGAGACATTATGAAAAATTTCTGTGAATATTTTCTCCATATATCTTTTGATACACACTGCTGTTGCTACTCTGCTTTTGGTAAATGCTGTATACTTCAGGGTGTGATTAACGGAGCATATGGTATACATGGGCTATCTTTTACTAAGTGTTATCAAATGTTTTTCCAAAGGAGTCTTATCAATTTACATTTCTAATAGCTTCATTTCCAAACCCATATCCTCACTCATATTGATAAATATCATTCTTTCAAAAATGTATCCATTGTTTGTGTAATATTACTCATTACAGTGTTAATTTATCTTTGTCTAGTGGCTAACGATATTGAGCACATTTTCCTATGTTTATCAGCTACTTTTAGATCATCTTTTGTATAGTCTTTCTCAAATTTTTTTGTTCATGACTAATTTTCTTGCCTTTTATTATTGTTCTGTATTAATTCTTTTTTTAAAATTTCATTTATTTATTTGTAAGATAGAGTTACAAACAGAGAGGGGGAGAGACAGAGAGAAGGTTTTCCATCCACTGATTCATTCCCCAAATGGCCACAATGAGTGGAGCTGAGCTGATCCAAAGCCAGGAGCCAGGAGCTTCCTCTGGATCTCCCATATGGGTTCAGGGGCCCAAGTGCCTGGGCCATCTTCTACTGCTTTCCCAAGCCATAGCAGAGAGCTGGATTGGAAGAGGAGCAGCCAGGACCTGAACTGGCACCCATATGGAATGCTGGCGCCACAGGCAGAGGATTAACCTGCACCACAGTGCCGGCCTCATAAAAGTTAATTTATAAAATATTTATTTACAGAGGGATAGAGAAGGAGAGTGAAAATGAGAGCGATGGAGAGAGAGAAAGAGAGAGAGAGATAGAGAGAGAGTGAGAGAGAAAGAAAGAGATTCCATCTACTGATTCAATCTCCAGATGTCTGCAACGGCTGGGTTTGGACCAGGCAGAAGCCAGGAACCCAGAACTCCATTCAGGTCTCTCAGTTAAGTGACAAAGGCCCAAGTACTTGAGACATCCTCTGCTGCCTTCTCACACACATTAGCAGAGAGCTGGACAGGAAGTGGAGCAGCTGAGATTTCAACCAGTGCTACAATTTGGGATGCTGATGTCTCAAGCTATAGCTTGACACTGAGCCACCACAGGGGCCCCTAAACTTATTTTTATATAAGCCATAAATTTAAATGTGAATCCTATCTTATTTGTCACAGATGTAAATGTTCTATCTTATATTTGAAAGACATAAATTATAAACTCTTTTTGAAACTCTGATATGTTTGAGGCTTGCAGTTACATCTTTTCCAAAGAAATTCTCTTGCTGACTTTTTTTTTCTTTTCTTTTTTTTTTTTTTGACAGGCAGAGTGGACAGTGAGAGAGAGAGAGAGAGAGAGAAAGGTCTTCCTTTTGCCATTGGTTCATCCTCCAATGGCTGCCACAGGCCGCGCGCTGAGGCTGGCGCACCGAAGGCAGGAGCCAGGTGCTTCTCCTGGTGCAGGGCCCAAGCACTTGGGCCATCCTCCACTGCACTCCCAGGCCATAGCAGAGAGCTGGCCTGGAAGAGGGGCAACCAGGACAGAATCCGGCGCCCCGACCGGGACTAGAACCCGGTGTGCCGGCGCCGCAAGGTGGAGGATTAGCCTTGAGCCGCAGCGCCAGCCCCATGACTTCTTGAATTTCCCCTCAGAGTCAATTTGCTTCATTGCATTATGTATAAAAAGATCCCTGTGAAAATGAGAGGAGGAATGCTGGTGCTTTCCTCGGGGATAGATTACAGAAGGCAAAACTTTCTGAAAGCAGACCCTTAAAGAATGGCTCACAGATTGGGGACCATTGATGGAATGGCAATGGGAACTGGAAAGGAAGGGAGGAAGAAGGAAAAGCGGAGAGGGAAGACATTGCTGAAAAGAGTTGCTGAAGAAAGTGCGGTTTATGGAGTCCACCACTAATGTGAACACCAGAGACTTTAAGCAGGACTGGAGGCTGACGGGAAGAGAAAGGGCTGCAGAAAGGAGTTTGGAAAGCTCAAAATATCCTCCCTCCACGTTCTCAATCTTTCCTTTTTTGCTGACCTGGTTCTGCCTGAGGCTACTTTATAGTATTTGTAAACCATAAAGTTTTATCCCATTATCCATGAAGTACATAATAACTCCCCAGGGTCAAAGGTAACACCAGTCTACCTTTAGTTATAAGAGAGATGCAGGCTTACTACCTATATATGGGTATGAATATCTTCTGCTGGCTAATTTTTTGGCTGGAGTTGCATACAGTTCATGAAATTAAATACTCCTCTCTTGGCACTTTCAAATCTATATAATTATAGTGAATGGTGCTACATGAAATATGTTTCTGTTGAGCTCTGTCCCAAGTAGTTATCAACAAATAATCTTACTTGACATTTACGTGTTAGTTTATGAAGTCCTCCATTAAAAGTTGGAGATAACTAATGTTTATTTTCAGATTACAGTTCTTGAGTGCAAGACTTTACATGTAATCTGCTATTTAACATTATAAGAATGCTCTTGGGTGGCATTTATTTATTTCATTTTCAAATAATGAAACTGAAAAAGCACTATATAACAGCCAAATCCACAAAGTTTGCAAATCTTCATCCTAAGAATAACCAAATATTTGACTCTACTGCATATGCATGCTTTCAAACGACATTGCATTGTGGTAAATTTCCTCAATGATTTTGAGGAAATGCCTACAACAGATCAAGTGATTTATAACAGATAGAAAGAACATGTATGTGATAATTAAAACTAACCTGGAGTCTGTGAAGATTAATTCATGATTGTAGATGCATTTTTATTTTATAACCTAGGACAACATCATCAAGAGAATTGAACAAGGTCAAATTTTTACATTAGAAACAGACTGCGGCCGGCACCACAGCTCACTTGGCTAATCCACTACCTGCGGCGCCAGCGCCCCGGGTTCTAGTCCCAGTCCGGGCGCCAGATTCTGTCCTGGTTGCTCCTCTTCCAGTCCAGCTCTCTGCTGTAGCCTGGGAAGGCAGTGGAGGATTGCCCAAGTGCTTGGGCCCTGCACCCGCATGGGAGACCATGAGGAAGCACCTGACTCCTGGCTTCGGATTGGCGTGGCGCTCCGGCTGTGGCGGCCATTTGGGGGGTGAACCAATGGAGGGAAGACCTTTCTCTCTGTCTCTCTCTCTCTCACTGGCTAACTGCCTGTAAAAAAAAAAAAAAAAAAAAAAAAAAAAAACAGACTGCAAGTATTACCTGCATGAATCATTGGAGCTATGATTAGATAGCAAGAACACTGAAAGGAAAAGTGACCTAATGATACAGAAAAAGAGAAATAATTTATCAGCTTTATTTCATTCATTCAACTAATTTTTAGTAAGATCCTAATAGGAGCCATAATCTCTTTTGTTTCTCTATGTATTTTTGGCATCTAGAGGAAAGTTACTGAAATCTTTTTTTTTCTTTGTTACTTTTTTTTTCATTATTGATTAACTCTGCTCTTTGGAAGAAAGATATTTTTTAATAAACATATTTTCCTGGAAGGGGCTTTTGGCTCAGTGGTTAAGATGCCACTTAGATGCCCATTCCTCAGAGCCTGGGTTTAAATCCTGGCTCCACTTTTGATTACAGCTTCCTGTTACTATGCACGTTGAGAGGCAGTAGATGATGACTCAAGTACTTGGGTCCCTTCCTCCATCCATTAGGGAGATCTTAATTAAGTTCCAACTTCCGGCTTGGCTGGACCCAGGTAGACATATATGGAAGTGAATCAGCAGACAGATATCTCTCTTCCCCCTCCCCAATTCAAATAAAAATAAATATATTTTTAAAGATTATAAACATATTTGTAATATATATGTACCTCAGCTATTTCCTGAGAAAGGTCAATTGAATATCTGTAAGAGAAGAAAATCAGGTAAAAATTATGCTTTCATGTGTTATTCTGTGTTATTGTTGAAGTAAGGCTTAGGAAATAGAAACAGAACTATTACAGCATTTTAAGAAAGAATTCCCTTGCCTTGCTAATAAGTTCACAATGAGTGCTCAGAAATTATGCAGTAAAGGAAAATTATCACTAAAAATTGCTTATATGTAGCCAGATTTTTTTTTTATTTTGGTTGAGGGGGATGTTGTGAAACCAAAAACATACCAAAGTTTATCTGTTAATTTTTTAACATTTTGCCAACAGAGAATTTCACACGATATCTGAAATAAAACTCATAAATTACTGAGTAAGTTTTTTTTCCCACATTGTAAGGAAAAAGCTGGAAAGAATTCTGTTTCTTCACCAAATCAACATGGTTTATATATTGGAAATGTATGATTGTCATTTATTTCTTGCTACACTGCTGTTTATAAAAATGAATGTTGATTCAACACCAAGTCAAGTGTTTATGGAAACTTAATTGCTTTGGTTTTTATCTGTTGGTCCTGTCATTTTCTGGCATTGCTCTACCCAACACAATGCTGTCTGTATTTATATCAGTGATGACTTCATATAGAGTTGCTATCCAGATTCAAATATGGTTTTAAAAGAATTTGGGAAGTGTTGGAAAGCAAAGAATAAGTTGATTTGCATGTGAGCCCCAAATATGTGTGCCAGTTGGCTGCTTCTGTTCATCTCTCTATTTTCATAGATTGTTCTCTTTCTGCTTAAGCTTTTTAAGCAGAGAAGGAAATGATCTGTGCTTACTTTTTCCCCTAAAACAAAACATCATAATATGCTGATCTAATATGTGATACCAGGATACCTCAAAAAGTTTGTGAAAATGTAACTTAAAGATATTTATGTAAAAACATTTAAAATCCATTCATTGTTGTATAACAGCACGATAGAATATTTTCAATTGTATTTACCCCAGGTAACCATCAGGAGATAGATGAAGAGTACAGTTTATTAGTATATCACGTTTGTTTAAATATATGCATTAATTTAAAAACTTTTTATAAGTCAATAATTCACTTGAGTGGCTACCAAAAATTTTAGAAAACAGAAACATATAACGTAAAAAAAATAAAAATAAGCAGCATCTATGTGTTAAATATGATTTTAAAAAATATTTGTGCCAAAAGATTTACATATATTTTACGGCTGTGATAGTTCAACAACATGATTCACCCTAATCTCCAGTGAGACTCCCACACAGATACACATACACACGAGGGTACTTCAAAAAGCTTGTGAAAAACTAGAATTAAAAGTATGAGTTTGTTTTGGCACAAAATTGTTGAAGTCCATGCATAATTTTTCCATAACATTTTCTATATATTATGGAAAAAACTTCACACCCTCATATGTATCATATATTCATATCAACATCTGTATGCATATGTTTTTCTTTTTTTCCTAATTCAGTTAATTTACTCAATTCTCCTCTGGCCCAGATACCTTCTCTTATTTTTCTTTACTATGACTATATTCTGACTGAGGACGTCCAATTGGAGGCTGGATGCTGTGCACAACACTTGATAAAATTATTCTTAAGCTTCAAAATCCTCCATGTTGCAATATCGTCTGTGTCAATAACTCTTGACATGCCCAGAAACTTAAGCTCACATACCTAGACCCCATCAAATCCAAACACCTGTCTCACAAATAACAAAGGAAGCCATTGTTTAAAAATTTGAATTCTAAGTCACCTTAATGAGATTCTTGACCCTTTGAACTTTTTTCCCTTCTTGTCCTATAATATGGCTTTCATAACCAACTAAGCAAGTTAATACCCATTCATCCTTATATTCAACTTTTAGTTATCGCTTTCTTGTAACAAATAATCTCAAGGTTTAATGGTTTAAAATAATAAAAACAATTGCTCACAATTTCTGAAGCTCAGTAGTTCAGGAACGTTTTGAGCAGACTTGGGTTATGATATCTCATCAGTTAAATCATGTTAGTGCTGTAAGCATTTTCCTCTCTGAAAGCTTAACTGCTTCCAAGCTGATGCACTCAAATGACTACAAGTTACTTATGTTGGCTGGTGAGATTTAATTGCCCTCCCGAGTGTCCTCTCCACAAGGCTGTTTGGATAGCTTAGGAACACGTCATCTTTCTATGCCTGAGGAGTAACCCAACAGTGCAGGGAGAAGAAGCAATGCCTTTTATGGCACAGATCAAGAAGTTGAATGTTATAGTATTCTGTTGATCATGGAGAAAACCTCTGATTTAGTTAAAAAAGAGATTACTTGAGGGCATAAATATTGTAAGACCAAGATTATTACAGACATCCTAGAAATTGCTGTCATAAATCCCTGCCTTCTTAACTCTGAAACCAGCTTTTCCTATTTCTTACTTGAAGAATGTCTTGCAATTCCTCTCATTTGTCAGGAGGACACCAGTAAGAAGTTAATGTTTCTCTGGGGTAATTGTATTTAGACACCATGTCTAAAACTTAAGTGGAAAAGAAACATGTGATGAACTGAATGTCAGTATTCTTCTAAAATTCATGTATTGAAACCTAAAACCCAATGTGAGTAGATCAGGATATGGGGCCTTCTAGGAAATTATTACATCATGAAAGTTCTGCCCTCATGGACGTAATTATCATCCTTATAAAAACAATTGAAGGTTGTGCCTTTACCCAACCACCATTTGAGGACATAGCTATAAAGAATTGGGCCCTCACCAGACTTTGAATATGCCAGTTCCTCTGTATTGGACTCCCCAGTATCCAGAACTATGGTAAATAAATTTCTGTTATTTATAGATTACCCAGTCTAAGGTACCATTGTTATGTAGCCTTAATGGACTAAGACAGGACAGAAAAATAAAATATAATGAAGCCATACCAAAAATGTCTCAACCAATGCTAAGTATAACAATCAGATGTATCCTCTTCCTTAAAAGATACTGGAGAGATTTAGAGTTCATTTGAAATTTGAATCAGAAGGCAGCCAATAAGAAATAGATGACATATGCAAATTGGGTAATTACAAGAGATTCTAAAATGTAAATTTCCTAAAGTGTGAGTATGGCATAAGGAAACTAGTATGGATAATGCAAAAACTAGAAATAGTAAGTACATTTATCACCTCTAGCCTAAATGGGTAGGGGAAAGATTAGATGCTGAAGGTAAGAAGGTATGAGAACTGTGTGGAATGTTGCTTAAAGGAAGCTGTGGCTTTGGGTTTAGGAACATAGCTAACACATAGTAATATTTCAGAATAAATACTCCTGATCTTGGTTACACTCAACCCAGAGCGAAGGTCTAGAGAGCCTTTTGATAAAATAATTAAGTGTGTGTTTGAATTTATCATCTTCAATTGTCTGTGAGATCCAGCTATATTTCCTGCCCTTGAGTTATGAAGTTATTTGAACTTATTCAGATCAATCCCCAAACTTTAAGAGAGTTTGTACAAACTTTAATTTGTGTTTATAACAACAAATTCACCTCTGACTGAAACACTTCCCAATGACTGTGTTTTTCTGTGATCCCAAATTGTATATAAATTCCTTTTGTGCTGAAGCAGAACAGATTGAAACCAGACAAAAACTATAATACAAACAGTTGAGTTGACAATTGCAAAGCCTTTCAGATGTGTAACCAAAATCAGCAAGGCTGTGTTGGCTTCCATGGGGAAATAAAAACAAAACCAAAGAACAGTTCTGCCAAGGATCAAATGTTTGAGGAGGGAAATCATCGGATGATAGTAGTTGAACCTAAAAGCTAAAAGTTTTCTGAAGCAGGTATAGGTGCTCAAGCTAATAGACTAGATTGATTAAGTGTGGACTCAGTCTTAGTAGACACTAGAGGTGTCAAAAAGCCTGAGTCCAAATTTGCTGCTGCTTACTGGGATGATTTCCACTTAATATCTCTGTGTTCCAATTTTCTTTTTCTGCAGAATAAGTAGTAATAATACTATCTCCCTGCATTGCAGTAATGGTAAAATGATTTTAATATGTCTGCAGGATCTAGATAGTTCCACACAAAAAATCCTGGCTATGTTCATCATCATCATTGCAATAAATCTAAAACCTGTTGGAGGAATCAACAACCCAAAAAGAAGGATATCAGAAAGAATACAGGAATGTTTGATTTGAAATGATGATGGAGTCCTTTGAATCAGGAACACAACATATGTATTCATTAGCAAAGAAAGTGTATGTTTGCTTTTCTTTTAACATGATACACTAACTTGTTTGAAAATGTTTATTAAATGTCAATACTTTGCCAGGTGATGCAGAAGATAAAGAAGACACAGTTTTGAACAAAATAGTTTCCAAACTAGCGTGGAGCCTTCATTACCATGAATGCATGGATTAAGCAAATGGATACAGTAATAATGACAAAGAGACTGATTTTTTCAAGTTCATAAAATAGGGCAATAATTCACATTGAATGAGATGAAGTGGAATTAGATCACTAGTATGTCCTGCAAATATCAATGGGGGGCAGAATGTTGATTTTGAGGTAATGGACAGACTCTCATAGGATATAAGTTGAACATAGTCAAAGCCAAGGTCACATTCTTCCAAAACCTTCCTACCAGAAATGGTATTATTTGAAGAATATATGGCAATGGATTAGATAACTACTAATTGAAAGAGCCAGGAAAAATGTGTTTGCCCAGGAGTACAGTACTCCTTTTCCTATTGGGGAAAATTTTCCAAAAAATATTTCTTCAGAAGCAGTTACACAAAGAAGCAACAGTAAATAAGAGAGATCTCAGGATATATTATTTAACTTTTAAAATAGGCATATTTTTAATTGGATTGATGGTCACCATCTCTAAGTCAATATCTAACTAATCTTCACAAATATTTAAGTTTACATTTTGGTAGCAAAATTCCACCCTAAAGCAAGCAAATTAAAATCTACTATGCCTTCAAATCAAGCAGTTTTTCCTACTAAGAAAATAATGCCTGAAATAGTTTCTCAGCATATATTCAGAATTTTGATACTTAGGAATGAAGTTTGCACAATTTCCAATGAAATAAAGAGGAAATAAGAAAAACATACTGTGTTCTTTGTGGAACAAGTTATATTTAAATTTAAAATATTCCAAGATTATATTAAATTTAAAAGATTTTGATATCGTTTCTTGCTTGTGTTATTTATAGTAATGATGTTTACTTACGTTGCTGGTATTAAAACTATATATGTAATATAAGAACAATACATGGAAATTTAAAGTGTATTTTAAAGATTCATTTATTTATTTGAAAATCAGAGTTACAGAGAGACAAGAAGAGAGAGAAATATATTTTTCACTCACTAGTTCACTCTCCAAATGATCACAACAGCTGGTGCTGGACCAGGATAAAGCCAAGAGCTTCATCAGGGTTTCTCACATGCGTGGCAGAGGCCCAAGTATTTGGCCATCTTCCAGTGCTTTTTCCAGGTCACTATCAGGGAGCCGGATCAGACTTGGAGTAGCTAGAACCCAAACCAGTGCCCAAATGGGCACAGGTGGTGGCTTTACCTGCTATACTACAATGCTGGCTCCTTAAAGTTGTTTTTAAAGCTTAGTACATATATTTGATAAAATATAAAATTTTAAACTAATGTGAGCTCCAGATTTTATTTCTCTACATATTTTCATTTCAGTGAATATGAACAATTAATGTGATGTAAATATATTAATAATATTATAGCATCAATAATCTACTAGTATATTAATATTGTGTTCACTAACTGTAAATTGAGTGTTATACTGAGAATAATTTATGACAAAACTCTAATTATTTATACTAAATATATAGTTTAACTCTCTGAGACTTCCATTTCACTTTTTTTAATTTTAATTTTATTTGAAGGGGTGGAGAAACACAGGGCTGGAGATGAGATGTGGTATGGAGAGAGAGAGAGAGAGAGAGAGACCTCCTAGGGTGGAACCATAACAGAAATAAAGCACTCAGATATGGGTTGTTGTCAAACAGAATCTTACCTGCTTCACAAAATATCTACCATTTCCTTATTTTTAAAGTAAAGGAGCCATGTCTTCTTAAAGGAGCAGGCATGTTGGGTTTTTCTGTTTTCCTGCAGCTCCAAATTTAGGTCTTGTCAGAAAAGAAAAAGCAAATGAAGAAGCATTTTTGGTCAATGATAAAATTTCAACAAGTCAGAAACTAACGTAGATATTTTACTATCAATGAGAGATCATCATTCACTAATTATTCAACAATAAATATGGTAATTCTGAATAATATTAGAGCCAAAAATGTTAGTTTCTTATTGTAAGTACTGATTTCTGAGGTTATAAGAATTTTTAAAATAACCCAGTAGAGTTCAGATAACTGGAAACTCTCACAAAAATATTTTTCTTTATATTCCTTCAGAGAAATTCAAATTTAACTGATGACATACAGAGCAATGGTATTTGATTTTTATTTACTTATTGCACTTTAAACAAATCCAAGCTCTTTCAAAAGTCACTCCTTGCCTTTGGCCTAAGTTTATTTAAAATAAAATCGGTAGAATCCCAGTCTCATGTTATGGACTTGGTGTCCAAAGATTCCTTCTGGTCTAGAAATTCCACACAAGTCTGAGAAGGCAAATGTACGAGAGCAAATCTGATTATTTTGGATTTATACTCACAGTAGGCTCACAAAGTTCTTTCTCCACAATGAAGGGTTTACAGACAATACACATAAAAAGCCATGGCCTTGATTAAGTTTGGGAGCCACTTTTAATTCATGCCATAAGCAAAAAAGAGGGTCCTTCATGGAATCACATTAAAATAATTTCCATTAACACAATCTAGAGAAAAAGTCCAATAATCAAAAAGATAAAAAGCACTGATATTCACTGGTATAATTAAACAAGTAAATGGCATAATGCACGTGTCAGCCAGAGTTTCCTACATATTACTCCAATGTTTTTATAAAGCAAGCAAACTTAACTTTAGGGAGAAAAGGAAGGAATCTGCCTCAGCCTCTATAATTCATTTGCAATCCTTCCTAAATCCAGCTAGAAAAGTGACACCATTTC